ATGTGGGCATCACCTCAGCCTTACCTACCCTCTAGTAGGAGTTGTGTAAAAGAAACCAGATTCTCATCAGGACTTTCAGGTGTGTGGGTGTTTCCAGGAATAAACAACACGCAACCACAGAACAACCAGGAAGCGGCTTTATAAGCATACCATGTCACTTCATTGCCACAAAGTTTATAAAATTTATCTCCATAGCCAGCCCACCATATTATGCCATTCTAACTAGGGGACTTGCCATGCGGTGGAACCAGTGAGCTAGAAAATGACCACTGCACACTGCCCTTCATGGCACGATGAAAGCAAGAACTGAAATTTTTACAGAGTCCGCAATTGCAACCATTCAGACAATCAATTTTGGGGCAAACCTGTCAATCATATTCTAGGTATACTGGATGAACTCTGTTGGAATTAAGAACTGGAATAGTTGGAGGAACATCCAGTCAGAGTAAAGTGCATCAGCAAGGTAGATACAAGAGAAGTTTTGCATCTTCCCACACAAGAAATGTAGCCATCCAATACTTTTGCTTTCTCTTTTACATACCCCCATATGCAAAATTAATGTATTTTGTTACAGCGTATGCAAATAAAACTCATGAAATTATTTTTCTTTCCTTATAAATGTAACAAGTTCTAGGCTCTAAGGTCATCAAAAGGCAGGAAATTCACTGACAAGCGTGATACACATTGCTATCTCTGAAAGAATTAAAGTGGTTTTAATGCTGTATACATCAGATGAGGCCATTACATAATGTAGTCCAACCTTAATTTTGCTTCCTTGCCAAGTTGCCAGACAAAATCATTGTATTTCATTGCTGGGGTGAGCACTTAGCGAGTAAACCAGATCTGTTAATAAACAGAGAATCATGATGCTTTTCCAGAACAATTCCCAGCTTCAGAGATACTTGGATTCATTCATTTATGTGCAACCTGTTCAGCTATCTGTATGGTTCCAAGATTTAGGATCCTTAGCTGACATAGAGAGAGACAGCAGGGAGAATTCGCACATGGAGAAAGTCGTGGTAGTTCCATGAGAAGTCAACAGAGCTGGGCCAACTTAAAAGTTTGTATCAGCTGAGGATCCAGCACTCTGGTATTCATGTCATCATCGAAAATTAAGTTCCTGGAAAGAATTTAATTTCTGTCTGCATCTTGATAATTAAAATCCAGCTTTACAGCTCCTACACTTCTTGTTGAATGAGTTATTAGCATGGAATCTGCTGTCAGTAAGGACTTTAAGACTGAGTAAAACCACTTCAAACAGAGCAGATCACAGACTCTGCCTTTGTCAAATAATTCTGATGACATTATGATAATTAACATAAAATGGGTCTGCAATAACCCACACTGAAAACCACAGGTAGAAGAGCCCAGATCTGTGCTCTCAGAACACGGAAGACCGGGGAAGTTCAGTCTTCAGGAAGGCTGTGACGGCTCCGCATAGCACCTTAAACAGTGCTTGAGTTTTGTCTGCTGCTATGTGGAAATGTGCACTTACTGAAATTGTACCTTTAATTGCACCCTGTTGGCAATGTCTTCATCCTCATCTACATCTCAGGCTTCAGCTGTCACAACCAGCTCTCCCTCTCCTCCTTCCCATCAAATGCACGCTACATTTCTGACTGATGCAGCCAGCAAACCCTCACAACTTTCCCTCCTCTACATGCATTATTTCTTCACCTAGGTCATCCTCTGTCCCAATCTAGCCTTACTCAGGGTCAATTCCCCTGTCATGGGATCCTGGCTCTCAATGTGTAACTGAGAGGATAGGGTCCTGTGAATAAGAAAGAATGTATTTGTCACTTCTTGTGGTAAATTTATGTTTTCAGTCATGTCCTGCCACAGACTTCTCATATCTCACTTCCCCTTCCCAAGTTCTGTTGCCTGTAGCAGAATTTTCACAAGGTAGAAGAAGGAACTGTGGCAGTACTTCCCAGATTAAATCCTCCTCAGATTTCTAGATGTCATTGTGTCCCTATGGATGTGATGAACAAGGTAACAACTATGTCTCCACCCGCTAACAAGAAAGAAACATGAGCTTTCCATGAGCCTCATGGGATTCTGGAGAATGCATATTCCAGGTTATAGTCAGCTTGTGAGACCTCTCTATCGAGTAACACAAAAGAAGAACTATTTTGAGTGGGGTCTTGAGTAACAACAAGCCTCTGAGCAGATCAAACAGGAGATGACTCATGAGGTAGCTCTTGGTTCTGTCTGGACAGGAAGAGCTGTACAAAATGCGCTCTACACTGTGGCCAGGGAACATGGTCTCACCTGGAGCCTCTGGCAGATAACATCAGGAGAAACTCGAGGTTGACCACTAGTGTTTTGAAACCAGGGTATCAAGGATCAGAAACTCACTAAAGGCCAACTGAAAAAGAGGTACTAGCAGCATATGAGGGGGTTCAAGTCACTTCAGAAATTGTTGGTATAGAAGCATATCTCCTCTTGGCACTGCAACTGTCCATGCTCCACTGGATGTTCAAATGAAACATCCCCTCTACACATCATGCAACCAGCGCTACATGGAGTCAGTAGGTAGCATTGATCATGTGGTGGACTTGACTGGGGAAGCCCAACAACCCAGGAACACTGGAAGAGATCATGGACTGGCCAGAATGCAGACATTTTGGAACATTGCCTGAGAAATTGGCTTGTGCCCAAGAGGCACAACCATATAATGAGTTATCAGAAGATGAAAGGTGTTATGCTCTGTTTACTGATGAATCCTGTTGTGGTGTAGGAGACCATCAGAAGTGGAAAGCTGCTGTGTGGACTCCCACATGGCATGTCACTGAAGCCACTGAAGGAGAAGGTGAGTCAAGTCAGTTTGCAGAACTGAAAGCCATCCAACTAGCCCTAGAGATCACTGAATGAGAAAAGTGGCCAGTATTCTATACTGACTCATGGATGGTGGCTACTGCCCTTATGGGGGTGGCTACATCAGTGAAATAGCAGTTGGAAGCACAGAGGTAAACCCATCCGGGCTGCTGCATTGTAGGAAGACATCACTGCCCGGGTAGAAAATGTTGCTCTAAAGGTACATCATGTAGATGCTCACATGCCCAAAAGCTGTACCACTGAAGAACATCAAAACAATAAGCAGGTAGACAAGGCTGTCAAAATTGAAGTGGCTCAGATGGACATGGACTGGGAGTGTAAGGGTGAGCTATTTGTAGCTTGATGGGCCTACAATACATTGGGACATCTAGAGAGAGATACAAAATACAGGTGTGCTCATGATCAAGGGGTGGACCTGATCATGTAGGCCATCACACAGGTCACTCATGAATGTGAAACATGTGCTGCAATCAAGCAAGCCTCTTGAGTAAAGTGTCCATGGAATAGAGGGCAGCGGCTAGGTTTTTGATATGGTGAGGCCTGGAAAATGGACTATATTGGACCACCGCCACGAACACACCAAGGCAAGTGCTACAACCTCACTGTGGTGGAAGCAACTACCGGTTGGCTACAAACATACCTGATAAACCATGCCACTGCCCAAAAGACCATCTTATTTTGCCAGTGATGGTAATTGTTCAGTGATCTTCCTGTACTTATCTCAACCCATGAGCCTTTCATTGTATTTTTCTCCCTCTGTCCAGTTGAGGAGGGAGAGTGATGGAGTTTCTTGGTGGACACCTGACATTCAGACAAGGTCAACCTACCACACATACTTCTGTTGCCTACTTTTCTCTCCAGCCTTGTATCTTAATCTCTACTTACATAAACATTTCTTCTTCCTCTCTGTGCCCTTATCTAAAATACAGCTATGATATCTATTCACAAGCTTTACTCATTCTCTAGATAATAGTAAATACTTAGAAAATAAACCAGAGTGTTACTGTGAATAGCATATTGAAAACCTCAGAACACTGTGGAGGAGTGTCAAAATGTTAAATTTAATTTAAAAATTCAAGTGGGGAAAAATATATAGAACACTCTCTGACACAAAACTGTAGTCAGTAAGATGATCATGGGACCAAGGTGATTTAGCTGAATTTCTGTCTTACCTGATTTTCTTTATATGATCATTATCAGTCTTTTTTTACTTATTTACATAGGACCTTAATTCACACTCCTCTGTTCCAGTGAACATCAATGCAGATCATTTGTGAACACCAGTTCGATCAAACAAAATTACCAGAACATCAGACTACAGTCATCAGCACAGCTTGTCAATGTTCAAATGTGGTGTACAGTCCTAGCTCCTGAGTAGTTCAGTTTCCTGCCAACTTTGATCTGTTTTCTGCCTTTACCTCTTATGTCTCTGTCCTCAGTAGTAATTATTATGACATGTAGCTTTCAACAGCTGAGGCCTTTTCTCTACTGCTGGCCCACAGCACTGTGCTGTGGAAGTACGGCTTAAGAAAGGAAAAGAAACTGTGAATGTGAAATAACTAGATCAGTGAGGAAGTGGGGAAACAGGTAGAGTATTATTTTAAAAACCCACACACAACACTATTCTGAAAAAATCAAACAGCTCTTCAGTGAAAGGTGTGGGTCAGCTTCAATTTCTGCATTATTCCTGTTGAAAAGTATGTAAAACGGGCCTTTATTTCCCCTTAAAACTCAGTTTCTCCCCCCAGGGTCTGGAAAGCCTTGTTGTTCAAGTTGAGAACTACACTGCCAGTAGCTAAGTAGCTAGTGAAGGGAGAAATCATTAAAAATGTCACTTACAGAGAAGACTTGAGACTGCTTATTTTTTTGAGGGACATGAGGAGGAATTTTCTTGGAGGCACTGACAAAGAAGTGACAAAGAAGTAGCAGCAGCAGTAGTAGTAATAGTAGTAGTAGTGACAAATATGAAGAAAAAGTTTCTCTCTAGCTTCCCAAGACTAAGATTTCCTTTTTGATATTAAACTCACCCTTGAATAATCTTCTCCACTTTTACCCCCTCCGAGCTCTGCTGCAGGGTTTATCTTCACTCATCAGCCTCCTGAGGAGAGCCAATGAACGGAAGGCAGAGCTGTTCAATCTGTTTCCTCAGTGTTCGCCTAGGCTCTCAGCACAGGAAGCCTTGTGCTCTGAAAAGTCAGAAGGAGGAACCTCTCCAGCTTTGAGGAGCCAGTTGATCAGGAGCACGCACAGCTAGAGGAGAGGAGTGGGAAAGAGGGAGAGAAAACACTGACATTGGCTGCTGAGGATGCACTGGCAGGCAAGAAATACTCCCCGTGACCACAGCTAGGTTGGTGATGGGATGGATGGAGTGACGGAGCTGTCTGAACCATGAAAGCAGGAACTGAGATGAAGATTGCTGGGAAGACTGTGTGTGTTTTTGTGATGCTCACCATCATCAAGGTCATGAGAACAGTAGGTGAGTTTAATTGGGGCCAATCAGCTGTTGGGATAGAAGAAAGTAAAGCGTGCACAGATATTTTTCTTTCCATAAAAACTAATTATCATGCAGTAACTTTCTTTAATTGCTAAAGATTATGGAGCACAATTAAAACATGTTTCCCCAATACCTACTCCTGCTCTTCTTTTCATATTGGTCACAAGGCTGCCAGGCATTATCCCTGTGACTCCCATGTAGGCAATTATTTAGTGACCCTTAGCTGGGAATGTACCATTTGTCACAGACAGGCTTTTTACTCAGACCTCTAAATCCACATCATCTGAGAAACTGGTCCATCTGACATATTAAAAATATGCCTGGGAAATTGTCTGTGAGATTGAAGCTTTTGGTCATGTGGTTTCTGCTGAAGAGAGGCTGCAGATAATCTGAAATAGGGCAGGGATCTCTTGCATCTTTCTGAGGAGTGGTGGAAGATCACTGATGCACTGACAGTAGGGAGCAGTTTCTGGAATTTCATTCAGAGTCTGATGGGCATGGTCACTATCAAGAGTGGGAAAGGCTTTTGTGCCAAAGACAGAGGCAATCCCAAGCCTTTCTAACCCCGTGTTTTAGTGTGGTTCACATAGTTTTAATATAGCTACATGTAGCTTAACTACAGCAGTTAATGTCTCCCACATACTCTTAATTTGCATTTCTAGAGCCTGTGCTTGTTAATGCAACTAGTGATTTGAGCAGCAGTTCCAGAAACCTAAACTCTCTATGTATAGAGGGAGAAAGCAAATAGTTCTGTGAGATTCAAATTAAACTAGGGACATCTCTGAATAATATGTAATGTTCATGTGTCCATTCCTGTTATGGACAGGTAGAACTAAACTTCATGGACATGAGTTATTCCATTCCACTTGGCTAGAAAATTAAACGTGGCTTCTTGGTGATATTTGAAAGCAAAATGGATGCAGCCATTGTTGGCAGTGAGGGAATACCTGTCTATAATGTGTTTGGCTGATCAAATGAGGGATCCAAAATGGTTACTTCAGTGCTACTCATTGGCAAAAAATTGGAATACTTTACAAACATTATTAAACTTTGAATTGGTAACCTCACAACAGGCACACTGGAGGTAAAAAACCTGTCCCTATTTTGTAGGTAAAGAACTATCTCAAGACAGTACTGAGGAATCTGCTCAGGGTCAGACAGATTATAGTAGAGTCAGAGACAGTCTAAAATTTTGAATACAGCTGCTCAAAAAGTAAAGGATTTCGGACACATCACAAAATGCTGAAGAAAATAGGGGAGACAAAGGGGAATCCTACTGGCAAAAATTCTTTTTAAAAATTGACTTGGAAATACTAAAAAAAAAATCCAATGTCAAGAAGATATTTTTTTTTCACCCAAAAAGTAATTGGATTTTAACTTCTTGGTGTCTTGGTGAATCAATGATATTCCCCTTCAGAGAATACAGATAAGATGTTCAGTTAAAATCTAATTTTATGCTTGAACCTTCCCCCACAAATAAAAAGCAGCCCACATTTGATAGGACGTTTTTAGTTAACACTGTTCTTAAACATTTTCCTTCAATATTAGAGTGACTGCCCTGACCAAGATGTAGCGACAAGTTTTTTTTCTCTAGAGACCACAGTCTAAATGTGTCAAGCTGATCTAATGTGTGTATTCTGTCCAGAGAACTTTAGTCTTGTATGCAGCTGAGAAGGAATTATGTCCCCGCTTCTGAAGACTATATCAAGCTACTCTGAATGAAATAAGGTCATGCAAAACCTGTTGTGTGTAACCAGGCTTTATCTGCATTAGAATTTTCATTAAGATTTCATTAGCATGTTGTTTTGTGTTGTTTGGTTAGTTTTTACAACAACAGAAGGGGCAGCTCAGAAGCAAGTCTGAGGTCACTTCATGATTGTCGTATCTAGATCTGCCTCCAAGTAGAGTTAGATAATATGCTGCTGGCACATGATCTGTACTAACAATCCTTCTGTGACAATCTTCATAGTAGCAGCAGTGGAAAAGACTCAAAATATTTTTGTTAACACTTTGAAGAATTCTCTAGTTTAACTAAGCAAACAGGACACCTCAGGTGGTTGTGTACATACTCCAAATGAAAGGGGATAGTGGAGGGCAAGATCTTCCATAAGAGGTTCATGCAACAAATCTCTATTTATTGGATTAACATTTGCAATCTTGAACAGTGTAAGTCCTGCATCTGCAGTTGCATCCTGTGACAATAGATATGACCAAATGCTTCAGAAGAAGCTGCAAGAAATCCACTGTCAGTAATTAGATATGATTTTCTATGGTTGTTCAGTTTTATCAATAGTAAAAAACTGAACTCAGTGGCTTTTCATCAGTGCTGGAATTAGAGTGTATGAGGTGAATAAAAGTGAAGTAGATTTATGGAGAAACCTGACTAGAGTTCAAGTTCACCTGCATACAGAACTTTCTTGGATACTACTGCTTCATTTAGTTCCTTTACTTAATACAGCTTGTAAATTCTCTTTCACTAGTGTACTAGTGTTTTATTGACTTTATTTTATTCTTACTTTCCCTGTCCTAGTGTGTTTAAGTGCTTCTGTCTCTGTTGCCTCCTATTCTAGTTTACCATGGAATCTTGCTCTAGACACAAAAAATCATAGGCTAAAAACCGATTCTGATAAACTTAAATTTTCTTCCCTGTCACTATTTCTTTGCTGCTCCTTTGGGTCTATATGCTGGAATCATTCTGACTTCTTTTATCCTAAACCCACCTGAATCCAAACATCTTGTTTTTCTTACACAAATGCTTAAAACAGAATTCTGTGCAATTAAGGAAAAATTTTCTCAGAATAGAGCTAAATTTCCATAGTACAATCTCCAAGGCGTGTCCTTGTGACATTAAGGTTTTATTTTGCTGTGGTCCAAATGCAATGCCTGAATGTGTCTCGTTTCAAAACTATGGAAACAAGGAAGTTCAGTATTGCAAGTTGACCACATACTCCATGACTACAAAGCAGATTTTCTTTAGCTGGAAATGCACTTGTAGAAGTACATTCTACTTAAAACTCACAGTTGATATATTCTGTATTTAGAGGTACAATAATTCATAAGAAAAAAGTGTAGCTATCTTCTTATGCTGCCTTATCTTTGTATTGAGTAAGAAAATACTAGAAAGAAAAATACTGTGCTAAAGCTAAGCACTAAACAAGGTATGACTGAGATTTTAACTATATAAAAGTGAGGTCATAATCATGTTTTCACAGCAGTCCCTTGTCTGCTCTCTGCAAAGTATGAAAAAGAGGGCATACAACCTACCGTTTGCAGTCAATGGTCTATTTTTTTTAGAATAGCAGGAAAATGCCACTTAAGCATAAATAAACAGTACAGCTTATTTTATTCTTCTCGTGAGGAAGAGAGCAGATAGCCAAGTTCAACATGCAAAACAGAATATAAAACATTCTGTATCTGTTTCTATACCGAGCAGTGGGGGGGCCTTTGCACTTTCTTACAGCTGGTGTCACAGTGCTACTCTGAAATATTACCCAAGGCACTTCGGCATCCAGTGTAAATCCCTTTTCCCCTCATCCATTCCAGCTCACACTCTGCAAGGACAAGGATCTACTTCGCACACAGAAGTTGCTATAATAAATTTAAAGTTTACAGCCAGACTGACATAATGTGTGACATCTTGTTAAGTTCGGTGATGATTTATTAACAGTTGAGTATTTGGCCAATGGTGTTTGTTCTGCAAGCTGCACGACTAATACAGCATTTAAGCACCAACTAATTCCTTCATTAAAGAAGTGCATCCATCCTTCTTTCTACAAAGTCATGTTTATATTGAGACATAGCCCATTTATGTCAGGGTAGAAACAAAACCTCAGAAAGGACTGCATCAAATCGCTTTTTTTTTAGGGCAATATTCATGGAACACATTTCATAAACAATCTGAGCACCAAAAAAAGCACCCACCTTACTGAAAGGCTGGTTTTAATCCTGATTGAGGCAGATTCTCTATTCTAATTTCCAGCCTAAATTTGTTGTACTACTTATTTTCATCATTATTACATTTTGAGCTGATGAATTTCAGCACACATCTACCATTCTACTCATCAAGGTCACCTGGTTCTTTCTGTGTGACATTTCCATTCTTTATATTAATAATGCTATATTCTTCCTACTTTCAACGAATTTCGTCACACACTCCTGACATAATGCCAATGCCATTAGTAAAACCATTAAACAGAATTACCATAAAAATAATCTGCTGAGAAACATTATCAGCAAGCTACCTTCAGCTTGACACCTCCTTTTAACACTGCCTTTTGCTTTCCCTCCTTAATCCAGTTCTTTATCCATCATGTTTCCCTTGAATTGTCCCTCTATTCTTCAGTGTAATTTATGAACTTCAAGGGGAGACTGTATCAAATAGCATCTCTAACTAGGTGAGATTTAACATCTTTCCTTTGCTTTAAAAATCATCTGTCTTGAATGACTACTTGAAAGGATACCAGAGAAAGCTAAAGAGAATGGAAAGATCATAGAAAAAATAAGAACTAGGAACTGACAACTGCAAAGGTATATTCCACCTAGAATGGGAAAACTGAAAACTTGGGTTCATTATTAAGTTCTGTCAGAGTGCTCTCCTCTCTCACCTCTAAAGTCATATTAAAATTTGCAATCTAAAAAAATTTCAGCCATGCTGCAGGCACTTCATACTGGAAAACCAGTGTTTACAATGACAAAGTGTATTTTTGGGGTGTGCTTTAAGGTTCTTATTTCAGCTTGTATGAGACAGCAGGAAGGAGATTTATACTGCAAACAACACAGTAATGGTGGCCGAAAAGAAATGTGTTAAAAGGAGAACAAAAGAAGAGTTTGAACATGAGGAAGAGAGTAATTTCTGAAGATAGGAAAAAAGCCTAAATAGTATGAAATGGGAATAGGAGGTATTTTCAAGGAATAATTATGAGTATGGATAAAAGAGTGTGAGTGGGAGCTAACAATAAAAGTGTAAGTCTCTTATTGTGTCC